ACGTTGACAGCCCTCACATATATATATATATATATATATATATATATATATATACTGTAAGTGCAGTTCAGTTTGAATAAGGAACGAATGTAAAATTGAGTCTGTGCTCTTACATTAATGCAATTTGGACTAGATATTATACTTAATCTGCAAGGTTTCAGGAAAAAACGTGAACTCACGGGAAAGTTCTGAGCTGGTGGAGGCGTCTTCTTCCGGTGTGTCTTCCTCCTCCTCCTCTTCATCCGTCTCTTCCTCAGCATTTTCACCCTCTTTGGGCAGAGGGTCGACCCAGTGGCCGGGCATGAGGGCGGCTGAATCATAAGAGCTGCAGAGAGGCCCGACGATGTGTGTGATGAAGGACTCCTGCAGTTTGGCCAACTGTGGTGCTGTACGGTCCATGAAAGGGCTGATGGGAAGGCCCAAACTGGACTCTTCATCACCCTGAAACACCAGAATGAAGAGAAAATGCATATAAACATATAAAAGAAAGAAAGAATTATGTGTAAAGGCCCGTTCACACCAAGAACAGGAACTATAAAGGTAACTATAATGAAAACTATATTTGCATCCAGACCAATGCATAATATCGTTCTGTTTATTATAATTGCGTGCTGCAGGTTTTTCGCCTACTGCTTTAAATGTTCGAGCTCTTTAAAGCAGGATGGATTCTGATCAATGTTCACCACATGGAAGAAATCCATCTGAAAGTGGTTCGATATTTGATAATGATATCGTTCCTCTTTGTCATTATGGTTATGGTGTGGACTCACAATTAATAAAACAATTATTAAACCTTTATAGTTATCATTATCGTTATTGCCCTTGATGTGAACAGACATTTAGGCTGCAAGAATGGAACGCCCATTTTTCAACCCAATCAATTCCCAATGGATAATTTCTAATAGAAAAATCACGTTCTGCCCACATTACAGAAGTATGTTGTTTCATATTGACTCTAAGTGGAATAACATTTGAAATGCTTTTTTGTTGCTATAATATGGAAGCCCATTTCCGCCACAGGATAAAAATTCCTTCAGAATTCAGAATTATTAACACAGAATTGTGAGATATAAACAGAATTGCCAGATATAAATGCAGGATTGAGATATAAATGCAGAATTATGAGATATAAATTCGCAAAGTCGCAACTGTGGGGAAAAAAAGTCAGAATTGTGAGATGAAAAAGTTGCAACTACCTTTTAAACTTTTTATTCAGTGTCATAAAAAAAATCTAAGAATTGCAGAATATTTTCTCAGAACTGCAAGAAACAAAGTCCAAATTGTGAGATGAAAAAAGCTGCAATTCTGTCAGGACCACTATTGTCAAAGATGATTGACAATTAGCATACAGTTTGGATTGGCGGTATGGTTCCGTTCTGGGCAAGAACTCCCTGCGCATCCATGCAGCCTAGCATGGATGAGAGCAGGGAGCGCAGCGATAACCCCCCCTGGGTAAACAGAACAGAACCAACATAAATGTATTGCAGATATTGTTAAATTTCAATAATTTTATGTATACATTTTAGAATTAGTCTGATTCAAAGGAGAATCAGATGGCTGAATCCCGACTGACAGAGGAGTTGGGGATGGAGGAGGGTAATTAGCTATTGAGCAATGCGAAAACTGCTGATAATACTGAGGGACCTTATATATGAATGCTTAGATAGGTGTCGTATTCCCATAGGTAGATGGGGATCAGCTGAGAGTCAGCTGATGCGAGCTTGACTAACGTGACCTGCCAGAACTAATGCTACGCTTGATTTACATCTACCTACATTTATGCATCTAGCAGATGCTTTTTATCCAAAGCAGGATTTTTTTTTTTTTTTTAAATCCTATGGTGTAAACAAGCTTCCAGTCTTCTGAAATTAAATGAACTGAAACTAACATTGTCCTTCATCTGCACTCCCTTCTCCAGTTGTATTTGGATGAAGAGCATCATGGGAATTGATGTCACCAGACATCATATGTTCCTCATATTAACAAGCACATGAAAGCAGCATCACATCATTTCACATCTAAAATTCATCCTGAGAAAAGAAATGCATTCAGTGATGTTGCAAATATGCATTTAATTTTGATTCAGAAATGCTCCATATAATGCAGTTTAATCTGATTTTATGGATGCCTGATTTGAAGCATTTTTCTTCACATTTTTAAAGAAAACTATTTATGCAGCAGCTATTTTATACTCATCTATTACATTAAACAAATAACGATATTACCAGGCAGGGAACAGTATGCTCAGTATATTCAAGCACAGCTGAAGAGTCACACACTTGATTGGATTTTTCCAGTTCAGGAGAGAAACATACTTCACAGACATTCGACTGCTATAAAACTAGGTCAACCTTCCCATGGACAGGGGAAATACACCCAACCACGCGAGGCCTGGGCTTTTTAATTATTTATTTCATATTACAGTATCGAAATAAGTAAGTAATCAGAGATTGGAAGAACATCTTATAGTCCACATGAAAACATATGCTTCGCAGTACCTGAAAATAAACTATGAGAGCGGCATAACAACAGGCAAGGTCTCAAGTTGCCATGGCAACCTCGCGGTGATGTCGTCAGAGGGCAGTAATGTATGTGCGCTTTTGAAATGCGCTGAATATGGCCAGGGGTGGTCATATGACGCTTTGTAGCTCAGTGACGGGGTCCTGACACAACTGGGTCATCCTCACTCTGTGTTCCTCACAATAATAGACGCAGTGTTTTATTACTCATTGCTGGCATCCAACAAGCCCTTAAGTCTTAGAGAAACGCTAATGGAATATAGGAAATCATGGTTGAACAAGTGTGCATGACGTACCGTAGCGGTCAATCAAGTTTGGCCAATATTATGCTAATATGTAATGCACTTTAAACATGCATTTTACACAACATTTAGCATTTTGACGAGAGCAAATGTCTTTCATATACTGGGAAAAATTATTTTCTTTCTTAGCATTTTTGTATTGTTTTCCATTACAAATATCTGAAAATTCTTAAATCAAGATACATTTACTTGAGAAGAAAATTTCATTAAGATAAGTCTTGTTGTTTTCTGAAAATTTGATCAGAGTGAAGTGTGTTTAAAATAAGAAAAAAAAAATCTGTCAAAGGGGTAAAAAAAATAATTGTTTTCCCTTTGATTTAAGTTTATTTTTCTGATCCCACTGAAGGATGTTTTTAAGCATAAAATCAATTCAGAATTGTGAGATATAAAGCTAAATTGTGCAATATAAACTCAAAACTGTGAGATATAAAACAGAACTGTGAGAATCTTAATTTATCTGAAAATTAAGATTAATATTAAAGAGTTAATATTAAACAATAATAATTATTATAATAAAAAAATCTATCAGTGTGGTCAGAGAAATAATCTTGATTCCTTTTGATTTAAGTTTATTTTTCTGACCCTATTGATTTTTTCTCATTTTAAGTATAATCTCACTACATTTTTTCAGAAAACAACACTTGAAATATCTTGTCATCTAGGTGCTCAAGTAAATGTATCTTATATTCAAAATGTTGAGATATTTGTACCGGAAAACAAGAGAAAAATACTAGATTTTTTTTTCTTTTGCAGTGTAATAATAAAGTATCAATAAAGGAGAGGCGTTTGTATTTTACTCATCTAATGTGACATATTTCTGAGTGATAAAGGATTTTAAATGGACAAGATGAGAGATTGAAAAGGAAAAAGATAAGGATTGATGGTGTCAGCTGAACAGAATGTTTTAATGAATGATTATGAACATTTTATTCTTTAGAATAATGTGCACCAACAAAGTAAATAGAGCCAATTGATTTCATGACAACTTTAATTGGCCAAATATCAGCCGATTCATTTTGTTTATCATCACTGAATAGCTTGTTTTGCTTGTAAATGTTCTTCTCCACTGAAAAAAGAATTTCCAGCAGACCGAACCGATGTAAAACTTTGCTTACTTTCTGCCCTGCATTCTCAATACAGCTGTGAACGTGTTCCTTCAGCACCGCTTGAGGAGGATGTGGACGGTTGCCAGGCAACAGCGTATCCGTGCCATCCTCTCCATCCACTCGATGTGAATGATACCGAGATGCCGCGTAGTTGCTGTGAGGTTACGTGTGCGCATTACCACAGCCTCTATGAGCGGGAGGTGTGGTTGCCAGGCACTTAGACATCGTGAGAGCTTCCTGTTTGTCTCGGCTGTGACTGAACAGCTCGAAAATGACTTCAGACATAAACATGCATCAAAGAGTAGACACTGACCTGTTCATAAAACTCATTGACGATGCCTTCCGTCCACTGCAAATGAAGCTCCTTGCTTTTCAATGGACCGTTTATATCCGCTAACTTAATACACATCTGACAGACCAGCAGACGATCATTCTCATTAGTCCAATCAATGCTTGAGCATCCATCATCTCCCACCTACAAACACAAAATACATAAACGAATAAAGTGCACAGCATTAGTTGCTCTATATATGTATATCTAATATCAGAGGTGCTCACTTTGGCGTTGAATTCAGCCAGAAAGTCGAAGTGTTTCTTGAGGTCGGTGGCCAGTATGGCCTCGATGACCAGGAAGCGAAAGCGTTTGAAGTCCATGTTGTCCAGACTGGCCAAAAAATTGTACTCAGGCCGCGACATGAAGAGATTCCAGGCAGACGCTGCATGATGGTTCTCCAGCACCGAACGGTCATTATAAAGCACAGCCTTCAAAGACACACAACACACAAGACTTTTATGGTGATTCAGATGTTTCAAGACCCCAGAACAATGGAAAACAACTGCTGTGTATAGTAATATCATAAATACTGTATATATATATATATATATATATACACACACAAACTCCACTGGTCAAAAGTTTGTAATAATTACGTTTTTTTTCAAATGTTTTTTTAAAGACCACTCTACTGCTCACAAAGGCTTCATTTATTTGATCAAAATACAGCAAAAACAGTAATATTGTGAAATATTATTACAAATTAAAATAGCTGTTTTCTATGTGAATATATACATAAAAAATAAATGTATTCCTATGATACAAAGCTATATTATATATTTCCATTCTAATGTATGGGGTGTGTGTGTATGTGTTTTATATATATATATATATATATATATATATATATAAATTAATGCTTTTATTAATCAAATATGCATTAATCACAGTATGACAGTAAAACATTTATAATGTTACAAAAGATTCTATTTCAAATAAATGTGGTTATTTAGATTTTTCTATTCATCAAAAAATCCTGAAAAAAAAGTTTTCTGAAAAATATGAAGCAGCAAAAACTGTTTTTAACACTGATAATAATAAGAACCATTATTAAAAACTGAGCACCAATAATAACGGAGCAGCAAATCAGCATATTAGAATGATTTCTAAAGGATCATGTGACACTGAAGACTGGAGTAATGATGCTGAAAATTCAGCTTTGATCACAAGAATATATTACATTTCACTATATATTCACATAGAAAACTGTTATTTTAAATTGGAGTAATATTTCACAATCTTAATGTTTTTACTGTATTTTTGATCAAATAATGCTACATGTACTATATATATACACACATATATGTATAGGTGTAATGAATTATTATGTATATGTATATATACATATAGATAATAGTTCATGACACCTGTCAATTTTGTGAAGGCTTCTATGCTACACAGCATTTTTAAATATAAAGTAAACACCAGTCTTGTTTGTTTCTTGATTTGATTAAATCACATATTTGAAACCCTTATTGTTAATTATTATAGAAGGTACTTTAGTCATTAATTCTACCTCTGTATTGAAGTACCTCTATGATTCCTAAAAAAGCACGACATGTGCTTAATATTACAATACGAGGAAATTAGCACTCCTTTGTAAATACTTGAAGAAAAACCATGCCTTGCAATGAAAGCTGAACAGCTGTTTCCCGGTGTTGTGTGATGATGGTGTGGTGTGTCACCTGAGGAGCGCTGGTGGCCACCAGGAACGCGTTGGTCCTGCCGGGATGGTCGTAATCATGCATGGCGGCTGCTACGTAGAGCGCCATCAGCTCCAGAGCGGGGATGAGGCCGGACAGACAGCTGTAACCCTCCTCCTCTACAGGATACGTCATGGACATCAGGTACTTTGAGTGGCTGTGAGCGAGTCCACCGTCAGAGTCTATAGACCGAGAGAGAGAGTGATTAACAATCTTTATATCTCTTCAAAGCATGTTAGTCAAGGTCTCATGCACCTACACTGTAAGAAATGATTTGAAGTTGTAAATAAAAGTGTATGTTTTACAAGAAAATACTATTTCAGTTCACATTTAATTCAATGTTTCACTTGCCAGTTCTTTGTAATTGTGAAATTTACGAGCAATTTCTGAGTGAAAATTGTTTCTAAGCCATTTTTTTTTGTGTAAAACAACATTTTAGACCGAGAGAGCTCAACAAGCTGCAAACAGCACATGCAAACAGAAAAAACACCAGCAAATTAAGAAAACAACTTTGTCAGTTTGATAACATAGGTGCTGCAAATACTCACAAAACAACCAAATACTGAAATGCGCTGCAAAGAGCACAGACCACAACGGAAATGTTTCAAGAGGATCCCTGCAAGTGACGAAATTGGCTGGGACATACTTATTGCATGTCTGATCGATCACCTGCAAGGTGTGTTTTTGTGTATTTTAACATCCTGATCTGTATTTGGTTATGTTGTGAGTATTGCAGCGTGTTTCTGTATTGGCTTGTGTTATGAGAATTTGCAGCACACGTGTTGTCAAACTGATTTTCTTATTTGCTGGTGCTTTTTCAATTTCCATGTGTTTTCGTCAGTTGCAGCATGTTGAGCTCTCTGGACCACCGTATAAAACACTCATAATTTAATTTTCATTATCATGTCTCTTACAATTAATCACTGAAATACATTTGCTGTAGGATTTACTTGACTAAATAATGACAAAGAAATGGCAAGTAACATACTGAATTAAATCAATTAAATCAGAACGACTGAAATGGTATTGAAACGTAACGGTATGAAACATATTCCAATAATCTTTATTCACTTAAATAAAACGTATTTTGCAGTGCATATGCAAATGAGCTCTGGTATATACATATGAAAACTGCATAATAGGTATTCTTCATAAATAATTATATTATTGTTATTAATTTTAATTCTTATTTTAAACAAAAACTACAAATTACAAACATAAATATATACAAAGCTTTTTTATTTCATCTAGTTGGCAAGGCAGCACTTCTCAACATGTACTAAAAATAAAAATCAATAAATACATATAGAGATAAAAAAACAAACAAACAAAAAAAGACAAAAACATGACAAAATAACTACAAGTAAAATTGAAATGAAAATGGAAAATATAAAAATAAAAGCTCAAAATAGAATAAAATATAAAAAGCTTTTATTTCAGCTAGTTGACAAGGCAACATTAATTTTGTTTAACTTGATGTACTAAAACTGAAATAAAAATGACTAAATACATAGACATATAGATTTATATTAAAAAAAACAAAAACTACAAAAAAGACAAAACTGCTAAAACTACTAAAACATTTACTAAAATTGAAATGAAAACATAAATATATGAATAAAAACTGATTCAAATATGAATAAACCTATAACAGTATCTTTCTTGATACTAAAATAACACTGATGCCTCACAGGACCATGGTGTTACATTTATTAACATAGATAACATGAGCATATAAATATAAACATATGAAAGTACACATATCTAGTCTATATAAAAGAAGTAATCAAACTAAATATATACTTTTGAATTACAGGCATTAAATAATTTCCACTGTATGTCCTTATTAACCCGTCCAAACTGTAATAAAGTGTGATTCTTACCCGAGTCACTCAGTGATGCCAGTGTAGGTAAACCAGGCACAGGCTGGGTAGTGAGGTACCAAACCGCATGGAGGACGTCTGTTGCATGAATCCTGTTGTGATCTGTGGAGGAAGACGAGGTTTAATACGGTAAACTACCACTAGAGGGAGACACAACACACCACACAGAAGCAGAACTGATGATTTAGAGCAATTTATTCCTCTGGAGGAGAAGCTGCCTGCGCACAGCAGCTGTTGTACATCATCAGTTATTTAATTGTTAACATATTTCTGTACACATGTCTCCTGCAGCACGAGGACTCACATGGGATGTCCCTGTATCCGTTCTCCAGAGCGTGGAAATAGTTCATGAACTCCCTCACTGGAATCTTGAATGTCTCAAAGAGTCCCGTGTCCACAAACAACCGGTAAGACACCTAAACCAAAAAAAAGCTTAAAATCCCTCAACCACGTCTGAAATTAAACAAAAGGTTCCAAACAATAATGCTATGGGTTCTCAAAAGGACATATGATTTTAATATTCGAGTCTCGTACCGGCAGGGATTGTAGGTGGGGGGAGTGAATGTACAGCGCTCTCTCCCACCTTCAATACCACGACTGAGGTGCCCTTGAGCAAGGCACCGAACCCCCAACTGCTCCCCGGACGCTGCAACATAAAAATGGCTGCCCATTGCTCCGGGTGTGTGTTCACGGTGTGTGTGTGTTCACTGCTGTGTGTGTGCACTTTGGATGGGATAAATGCAGAGTACTAATTCCGAGTATGGGTCACCATATACTCCATATACTCCACTAGATGTCAGTGTCTCACCTGGCTGAGGATGCAGCCACATCTGCCGTTGGTTCTCTCCACCAGACTGAAGATGGGGAAGTTCCAGTTGTTGATCTGACTCATGAGGGGCTTCAGGCCCTCCATCACCAGCGGCTCCGGGGCCAAGATGGGCTTATCCTGCAGAGGAAATGATTTCAGATCACGGACTGTGCCATCTTACAACAAAAAACCCACTAGACATAACTGGAATTACAAAAATAAATAAATAAATCAAGTGGCACATATGAAACTACTACAGAGCGTAGTTAAAACAGCATATAACACAAAAAGAGTCTGTCAACAAACCACAGCGAAAACAAATCAAATGAAATCAAAATATTTTTGTGCGTTATACATTTTCTGCAGACTGCGTGCATACTGCATATTTTATGCAACACTTTATACAGTGTATTTTTACTGCTTGTAGGTCCTCTAACACTGACCAGAAAAAAAAAAAAGATGAAAAATACAATACAATAAAAATGTTTTTTTATATATATATATTATATATATATATATATATATATATGCACTATACACTAAC